GCTCACAGCAACCTCCAACTCCTGGGCTCAAGCGAGTCTCCTGCCTCCGCCTTCCAAGTAGCTGGGACCACAGGCGCCCGCCACAACGCCCGGCTATTTTTTGGTTGCAGCCTTCATTGTTGTTTGGCGGGTCCGGGCTGGATTCGAACCTGCCACCTTAGGTGTATGTGGCTGGCGCCTTAGCCACTTGAGCCACAGATGTGGAGCCAGATGGGTCTGGATTCTGGTTGATTTCTTGGTCTGGGTGCCCACTTAAGGGCTATGGGATTCTAGTTGGCTCTTTAGAATTGACATAGGAAGATTGAAGGTCTCCAGGCGAATTGGTCAGTAGGACTGAGGACCTGGATTCTGATTGGTTCTTCTGACTTGAAGTCGGGAGAGGTGAGGATGACCGCTGCTATTAGGATTGAGAAGTTCTGGGTCTTGAAGGGCTTGAAAGGTGGTGTGGGGTGGGGTTTGCAGCGTATAGGATGACATCTGCCTGCAATATTAAGTTTCCTTGAATTAGGACTGAAGGTTGGTCTGGGAACTATTTGCCTTGAAAACAAGGGCGGAACTGAGTGGACAAAATACAACACTGAAGTCACCAGCAGATGAAGAGGATACACACCTTAACGATTACCCCGTGTGACTGACTGATAGAAGGCGGGGAAAATTGAAACCGGGAATCCATTGGCTACAACTGTGCACAAAGAGTATTGAGCCCAAAACGCCCCCTCCTGACTCAGTCTCAGCCAACCGCGAAAATGGCACCACGCCTGTGGGCGGGGCCGGCGGCACACAGAAAGCGTCTATTGGTTAGGAGCAGTACCGACCTCCTTCTTCGTTTCTCCATTGGGCCGCTCCATAAGGCGGGGAACCCGTGATGGGGTGGACCCGAGCTGCTGCTGCTACCTGACCGGTGAGCCTGACTAGAGAGAGCTGGGAGCTCGTGGGAGACGTTGCTGCCTTCGCGCTTTAGGTGAGAGCCCTCCGCCCGGCCCGCCCCTCCATTCCTTGGCTCTCCACATCTAGATGGCTAGACAGCCAGTCGTCAGGCTGCCTGCACAAGACCCTTTCCTATACCACCCCGCCTTACGCCTGCGCGAGACCCCGGGCTACCGCGCAGGTGTCCGGACAACAAAAGATCCGCCTTTTCATTGGGCACCGGACTGGAGGGTTCTAGTTCTGATTGGTGATCTTTGTATTTCACCCTTTCCCTATTTAGCGCTTTGCACTGGACACCAGCCTTCCTCTTTCCTCCTCTTTGGTACAGGTTGGCGGCGTAGTACGCTATTGCTAGGAAGCTCTGGCTTTCTAAACGCTGGGCTTCAGAGTTGTAGTTCTGATTATTTCCCTCGTCCCCCCCTACAGCGTTCAGGACTACAGGGAAGGGAGTAGTTTTCCATGAATGGTGCAAGACACCGACCACTGAAATGGGACCATGCCTGGTACCTATGCCTCCCGCCAAACTGTGACTCCAGAGAGCTGGGACCAGATTTGATGATCATGACTCTTCCACCAGACTGTGACCCATGAAGGATGGGGCCAGGTCTGGTCCTGTGTCTTCTCCAGACTGTGACCAGTGAGGGCTGCAATCACATGTTCCTATATGCCCTACTAGACTTTTGACCCCTTAGGGCTGGGACCAAGCTGCAGGTGACCCCGAGGGCTGGGACCAGGCTTGTTTTCTGCCACATCATAATATGCTCCCAGGGAGCTGAAGCAAGCTTTCAGTCTTTCTGTGGCCTATATTTTAGTCATGTTATTTTTTTTTTTTGAGATGGAGCCTCAAGCTATCCCCCTGGGTAGAGTGCCATGGCATCACGCTCACAGCAACCTCCAACTCCTGGG